TAGATTTTATCATTTAATTTAATTTTTGAAAAGTTATTAATTATTTTTAAATTTGAAAATCCTAAAAGTTATATTAATTAAATTTCATATAAGATTAATCATATTTTTTTATATGTAATTTGTTAAAATATAATCAATTAGTAGATTTGTTTTACGTGTTGATCTTTTACTGTAATATTATCGATTAGATATATTATTACTCTCAAATAGCTTATAAGAATAGACTAATTAGTTTGTTCTCCATTAAAATTAATTTATCTCATAATAAACATATTAGTTATTGTTATTGGCATTCAAAGTTATATTTTCTGATTGCTTGTTTTGGGATTTGAAACATATAATTTAGTAATAAATAAAAATCAAAATTTATAATAATTGAATAAATGAATTAAGTGAATCTTAAAATCTTATGAATCTTAAAATTTTATTCATCGTAATATTACTTTTAATCTTTTATAATTATCATTTTTTATTCAAATATTTTATTTTTAATTTTAAAAATTATATTTTAATTTAATTTTTCATGATAACGACTCTTTTTTATTAGTTTAACAAAACTTTTTTTGTTAATTCAATACCTAAAATAACATTGTAGTAATTGTTTAGCCGAAAGATATTAATATTGGAGCGCGACATCATATATTAACTCTTTTAATAAAAAACAATATTATGTAATTTATATCACATGAAATTATTCAATATAAATCATTAAATTATGGGAATTCTTTAAATAAAAGATAGATCTTCATATTGTGGTAATTTATAATTTGTACTTCAAATTATAAAATTCTACATTATTTTTATAATAATTTTGTTTTGGTGAACAATTAATTTTGTTAATCATATATGTACCCGGTCCAGTTATTTTCATTTCTTTTAAAATTAATCTGGTTCTGCTCGGACTAAATAAGTTTGTTCCTACGCGGTGCCGCTCGTGCTGCTGTGTCTCCCAACTATCCACTCTCATCTCCCTTCTTACGAGAAAAATATATAAATTAAAGAGATAATAAATATATTTTTTAAAATTAATTTATATTAAAAATTATAAAAATTATATATATGTTAATATTATTAATATATAAATAATTTTAATTAAATTAAATTAAAATTAATATTTATATTTTTAATTAATATTAATTATAAAAAATACATTTATTATATTTTGGTGATGTTTGTTAAGTATACATTATAAAAAAATTTATTTAAAAAAAAAAATTAAAGTTTGTTCATACGACAGTGTCTCAAACAGTTGACTGTTTATGGCATGCTCGGACTCCAAGGCATTTTGCGTCACTGTCTCCATCATCCTGACAGCCGCCAGCTGTTAATCCTTTTTGACGACGGAACTAAACTCAACACATTCGAAACAGCTATATATACATGATTTTTTTATTTTGTATTCTTAAGTGTATTATTATATATTTTTATTATAAATATATAAAAAAATATAAAAATAAAATATAAATTTATAATAAAAAATTTATATTACTATACTTTTAATTTATATTATTAAAATACAAATTAAATAAACTCTCTATATATATAAATGTTTAAAAAAATGTGCACTTATTAAGGATACAGTAGTCTAATTGATGCCAAGGCCTTTACTCTCGCCATCTCTTGTTCAGCAATTTGTGGAGATGCTATTGAGGAATTAATTTTTGGTAAATTTCTTAATTTAAGTGTAAATGATTTGATTCTGATAAAGTTAAATTAAGTGAACTTTTCATTTTTTAATGCAAAAATTAGGAAATATCATCGGATGCACAAATTGGTAAACAACTTTAAGGTAAATAAATTTATTCAATCTCATTCGGCATTCTTTATGAAAGTTGATTATTTTTCTTTATTCTTTTTTTTTTTTCTAAAAATGGGAAATATTTGCAGGTGAGAAATGTGGTTGGCTGAGTCTGAAATCCAGACTTTGGTATCAGATTACAGCTTATAATCACTTTTGAGCCGGTGATTGGCCTTTAAGTTGATTTAACCCCAACTTATTCAATATATGGGCGATACATTGTTTATCATTTGTCGATAAGAATTACCTCTTGTTAATTGAAAAAATTGGGAAATTTATGGTATTTAAGATTTGATTGTCAAAAAAACACAATTATTTAATACGATTCATTTGTGAAAATCATACATATAGATTCAATACAAAATTTGCATCTAGCCTAAAATCAATTGACTATAAGTAGAGTAATTCTCCTTATATTCAATTCACATATTTCTTATTTTTATAAATCTCAGTTAACACGTCTTTTCACGTGCACACCCGCTTAGGTTAACACATCCCCTTAAATGCAAGCTTAGTACTTTCAACTTCGGATAATGTCAGGTGAGTTAACAACGTACTTCTCAAGATAAAATCTGGATTTTGATACCATATGAAAATTGTGTATATAGGTTTAATACAAAACTTACATTCAATATAAAACCAATTGGTTACAGATTGAGTAACTCTTCTTATATTTAACTATATACTTTTTATTTTTATACTCGATATGTGATTTTTTCATTTAACAATTTATAAAATCTAAAATGGTAAATTTTTTTGAACAAATAAAAAATAAAAAAATTCTATTAATCTTAGATGAAGCACCACAAACATCCACTAAGATGGAACCATTTAAGGACTTGCTTAGATTTTGTTTGACATGGCAGAAATAATCCAATATTAATTAGAAGAGTTTTGATTGGCGTGGCGCACACACCAGTAAGCTGTAACCTTCAACCATACGGTAAGTGACCAAACCATCCTATAAATAGGAACAAAAGATTTTCTCAAGTCAAGGACCTAACACATAACGAACAAGACGATTCAAAAACGTTTCCTGTGGTCTTAAACAAACAAAACAAAACCAGATTATGTGAATACTTGACATTCAGACACACCGACAAAGATAACGAACTTGGAATTCAGATTCCATGTTTCTTACCAATTGATATATGGTATAATATTAATTAATTCCATATTGAATCAACGAAAAGTAGAAATAATTAATCAATTAGTATTTGATTTTATATTATCATTTCTTTTCATGACAGCTAGCTATTAATAACATGTCGAAGAGATGATGATTAAAAGCTTAATATACACAAACTAAAAAAGAGATCAAAGTGTATTTTATTCCTCATTGCGCTCTTAGCAGGAGGTGGAGATAATCAAAGGACTGGTGGCTAAGTTTTTTTCCTAAAAGGGCAAATTCCAAAAGATTAAAGATAACGTAATGATGGTTAGGTTAATTAAATTGTTTGATAAATATAATTAAAGTTTGTCTAACTTGTACTTTAAAGTTAAACCTCATTAAATATAAAATTTATAATTAAATTTTCATAAAATTTCATACCAGATTTATATATATTTTTTACAGATTTTAAGTATAAATATTATATTTTATTTTAATTTTACGTTTTATATTTTATTTTAATTGAATTTGATATAAAAATTTATATAAAATTAATTAAAATATTATATTTAATAAAATTTAACTTGTAACTTACGCAAGTTAAAATTTTCCTTTGATTAATATAATTTGTGGAAGGTTGAATGTTCTAATGTTCTAGTGCGAAGTACGTAATAATTATTCTTAAATTTGTCAATGAATTTTGGTTGTGAGGTGATAAAAACAATTTACTAATGAGCAAAGTGTTGACTTGATCCAAACAATGACGGGTGTGCCGCTGTTTGTTTTTGTCACCTCCTCTTACTTGGCCCCGTATGTAGAATTTTTTGTACATACGATAATTGTTATATAGTGCTGTTTTCAAATTACTTTAATTTCATCTAACTTAATATTTGAATTTAAGATATTTATAAGTTAAAGATTTTTTTTTTCAATTATATATGATTTGGATTTTTTTTTATATTAATGGGTATATTTTTTTA